ATCGTACACGGTAGATATCAATTTAGTACAGTTACATTTAGACAGTTATTATCAATATATCCAAATTTATACTGATGCATCAAAAATAACTGAGAAACTAGGAATAGCATTTGTAGTACCAGAATTCAATATAAAAATAGGAAAACGAATTACAGATGGATTATCAGTATACACAGGAGAAATGTTGGCAATATTATTAGCGTTACAATGGGTAGAAGACATAAAACCATTAAAAACAATAATATGTTCAGATTCAAGCTCTGCATTGTTAAGTTTAAAAAATAACCAAACAGATAGTAGGATGGACATTTTATTAGAAATAAATCATACACTGTTCAGAATACGAAACATGGGGCTGATAGTTACATTTGTGTGGGTTCCAGCACATATTGGGGTAGAAGGAAACGAGAGGGCAGATAAAATGGCAAAAAGGGCAATTAAACATTCTATTAGTTTATAGTTAAAATAAGTAAATCAGAAGGAAAAAGTATTATTAAAGAGAAACTAATGGAAGTTTGGCAAAAAAAGTGGGATGAAAATAAAACAGGAAGATGGTTTTATAAAATTCAGAAGATGGTAGGAGAAAGAAGAAATGGAAGAAGAAATAGAAAGGAGGAAAGAGTGATAACAAGGTTAAGATTTGGTCATACAGGACTTAATTATACACTTTTTAAAATACAAAAACATAAAACGGGCAAATGTGATTTCTGTGATAAATATGAAACCATAGAACATGTTATATTAGAATGTCATAAATATGAAAAAAAGAGAAGATATATATATGAGGAGAGAGTTTGAAGACATTAAGGAGAAGGTTAATTTATTAGATATACTGAGGAAAAATTTAGGGAGTAAACACATACAAATAATTATTCGATTTCTAAAGAAAACGAAATTATTCCATAGAATTTAATTATAGTAAGTGTGTTTGTGAGTGAAGAATTGATATACAAAGCTGTGCACAAATATGTTTATATTTTTAAGTGTGAATGTGTGAATGTATGTTTAGAAGAAGTTAGGGTAGAATGTATCAGGATAAATATTTTAACCATCACGAACCACACTCCATACCAGTAAGTGGCGGTAATGCTACTAACAGTTTGTTGCCAACCGCCATAAAACTCGACAAGAAGAAGAAGAAGACTCCCAGACGATCAGATTCACCTTCAGACCAAACTAGCAGCTTCCTCTGAGTGAGTCCAGCTGCAGGAGAGAAAAGTGGAAACCTCCAACACTGCTGCTTCAAGCTGCTCACACTCCACACACTGAAGGTGAGTTGGACCAAGAACACCACTCAGAGTCACTTTGAGGGAAGTTAGTAGAGGAGGGAGGGGAGCCATGACTGACTGGACCTTCTGTGTTTTCAGCTTCACTCAGAGACTAAATGGCTTCCAGGTTAGAGGAGGATCTCTGCTGTCCGGTCTGTCAGGACGTCTTTAAGGATCCAGTTGTTCTGTCATGTAGCCACAGCTTCTGTAAGAAGTGTCTGAAGAACTGGTGGAGAGAGAAACCAGTAAAAGAGTGTCCAGTTTGTAAGAGGAGATCTTCAAAGGATGAACCACCATTAAATCTGGTTCTGAAGAACCTGTGTGAGACCTTCTTACAGCAGAGAGAGCAGAGAGCTTCAGAGGATCTCTGCAGTCTGCACTCTGAGAAACTCAGACTCTTCTGTCTGGACCATCAGCAGCCAGTGTGTCTCGTCTGCAAAGATTCAGAAAAACACACCGAGCACAGATTCAGACCCATCGATGAAGCTGCTCAGCAACACAAGAAGAAACTTCAGGAAACTCTGGAAGCTTTGAAGAAGAAGCTGGAGCTCAGAAAGAAAGTTCAGGAGGAGTTTGATCAGACAGCAGAACACATGAAGGTCCAGGCCCGACACACAGAGAGGCTGATTAAGGAGCAGTTTAAGAAGCTTCATCAGTTTCTAGCAGAGGAAGAGGAGGCCAGGCTGGCTGCACTGAGGGAGGAAGAGGAGCAGAAGAGAGGGATGATGAAGGAGAAGATGGAGGCTCTGAGCAGAGAGATAGCAGCTCTTTCAGACACAGTCAGAGCCACAGAGGAGGAGCTGAGAGCTGAAGACGTCTCATTCCTGCACAACTACAAGGCTGCAGTGGAAAGAGTCCAGCGCTGCCCCCTGCTGGAGGATCCACAGCTGCCCTCAGGAGCTCTGATAGACCAGGCCAAACATCTGGGCAACCTGGCCTTCAACATCTGGAGCAACATGAAGAACATGGTGTCCTACACTCCTCTCATCCTGGACCCAAACACTGCTGGTTCAAGACTCATCCTGTCTGAAGATCTGACCAGCGGGACTAAAGGAGAGAAACAGAAGCTTCCTGATAATCCAGAGAGGTTTGGGTCTTGGCCCCGGTCTGTCCTGAGTTCTGAGGGCTTTAACTCAGGGAACCACAGCTGGGATGTTGACGTTGGAGACAGTAAATGCTGGATGCTTGGTGTGTTAGAAGAGTCTGTTCAGAGGAAGGGAGACATAAAGTCTGGATTGTTGTATATATGGTTCCATGAAGGTAAATACTTAGCAGAGTCTCCACCATCTCTTCCCAAATTTCTCTCAGTTCAGAAGAAGCTCCAGAGGATCAGAGTGAATCTGGACTGGGACAGAGGAAAGCTGTCCTTCTCTGATCTGGACACTAACACACACATACACACCTTCACACACACCTTCACCGACAAGATGTTTCCATACTTCTACACTCTGGGTAAAGTAAAAATCTTACCCATGAAGATCTCAGTGAGCAAACAGCAGCTCTGTCCAAATGAAACCTTATTGATCTGATTGAAACTCAGTGTTTGAAACAGGAAACTGGAGATGATCTGATCTGATCTGATCATCTGGTTGTTTTATGGAAACAAACTGAGATCCAAACATCCAGAAAAACTGAGAGGTTTTCATCTTAGTATAAAACGACTCAGCATGTTTAATTTCAACAAATGAGACCTTTTTGCATATTGACTTTAATGTAAAATGTTTTTCATTCATGAACTTTGATGATTCATATTTACTTTTGTCGAATATTTTCTGATCCTTTAACTTATTCTGTTTATATCAAACATGACTTTTTGTGGAGATGGATGTGCTAATAATCATCTTTAGCCTGAGAAGAAGTATTTGTGTTTCGAGTATTTTGATTATTAAACTATTAAAGATCACTGATTATGTCTTTTAATTGTCAAACTTGATGCTTCATATGACCAGTAGAGGGCAGGACTGCAATGAACCATCTGGGTCTGGTATAAGTCATGCCTGTGGAGAAAAACATTCAGTTCAATTTTTAGCTAAAACTCAGGTTGTATAAAAACTCTAAAAGCAGCAGTTTCAGTGTAAAGATTTAAAACTAGTTTGAAAAACCTCAAACACTATTTTCTTCTAAAAATTTCTCTAGTTGTTTATAAACCACTTTTTTAAGATTTTTGAGAGTTTGGATATAGGCCTTTAATTTTCAGAAGTATTGAGAGCAGATTTCTTAAAAAGGCTAAATTACTGCTTCATTTCCTTATAAATTTTAATAATAGTCTTTATTTCCAATGTTTTCAACAGAGGTGTCAAAAGTATTCATGTTTATAACTCAAGTAGAAGTATAAATCCTACTGTTTACACTTTTTTAGAAGTTAAAATTAACTTCAGCTTTTTACTCAAGTAAATGTTTTAAAGAAATTAATTTTATGGATGAAGCAAATTATTTTTAATTAATTTTTTTATACCAACAGGCCATAACGAACATGAGCTTAAAATGTCACCAGTCTATTTTAAAATGTAAGGAATAAAAAGTAGATAATTGCTAATAAAAAATGTAATAAGTAGAAGTAAAAAGTTAAAAAAATAACTCAAGTAAAGTATAGATAGCCTTAATTGAGATTTAAGTAAGGTAAGTACCTAAGGAAAACCAGTTGAGTGCATTGACTCCACAGCAATCCCTCACACTAAGCATGCTTGTAGCGACAGTGGAGAGGAATAATCCCTTTTAACAGGAAGAAACCTCCAGCAGAACCAGGCTCAGTGTGAGCGGCCATCTGCTGAGGCAGACTGGGGTTCAAGGAGACAGGCTGGTCCATCAGATTTCCAGATGGAGAAATGTGATTCATCACTCCAGAGAATGCGTCTCCACTGCTCTGGAGTCCAGTGGCAGCATGCTTCAGGTCCATGCTGGGATTCACTGAGCTCCTGAGAGCGACCTATTCTTTCACAAATGTTTTTAACAACAGTCTGCATGCCTAGGTGCTCGATTTTATACGCATCTGGGATGGAAGTAATCTCAACATCTGATTCCATAAATCTGAATAGATGAGCAAATACTTTTGTTGTTATACTGCATGTTCTTCCATGAAAAAAATCAGGTTTTAGGATCCATTCCATCTGCTTTATTTCAGCATAGAAATCTGTTGATTTTTTTCTCATGTTAAAGCAGTTGCTTAAACTATTAACCGTTTGCTGCTGTGATGCAATGAATGTTTTTTTAAAACTCAGATGAGATTGATTTTATGTAAATTAAGTCTGACTAAAATTATATTTCATATTAAGATTAAAACATTATCCATTTAATAACTACAGAAAAAAGCTACTTTGTTTATCTTAGACTCCCATTGATGATTTAATACAAAATTCTCAGACATCAATAGATTTGCTGATGATACATATATCCTATCAAAAATGTAAACAGATAAAATCATTTCCTGACATTAAAGAACCTTTTTATTTGAACACTTTGAAATATGTCGTCCTTTTATCAGACTAAATAAAGCAAAGAAAGTCAAACTTCTCTCTTCATTAAACTTTAAATAATTCATAAAATTTTCTTATACCTTAATGTTTTATAATATGCTGCTTTTGTAAATATTGCTTTTTAAGCTCATAACTTAACTGTTTTGAATGGAAGCCTTTATTGCTTCTATGCTGTAAACTTGCTGTAGTTTGTTTCCTATTCCTAATTTCTGTCCATTGTCTCATCCAGGCTGAGATGATTTAACTTTAAGCAGAAATATTGAGGCTGCAGCAACAAAAACTCTGGTTTTATTTCAGGTCAGAAACAACATGGTCAATTTTCAGATGACACAGAAAACACTTCAGATATTCCTCTTTTTAAAATACATCTCATTATTTACTCATTCATCCTTATTTTATAATACCGGCTTATTTCTGACTGGTTTCATCAAATGAATTTGACCATTTGAAGAAATTCACTGGAAGATTTTGGGTCCAAATGTTTTCCCATCCCTTAGTCTGTACAAACGGTTCGATTTGTGGTTCAGTTCACTGACCTGCTTCATGACAACATGGAAGAAAAACCAGAACACGTGGGATAAAACCGAGGGTATAAATGTGCACAATAAGAACAATCCAAACAAGCACGACTCGAACTGATCGTTCAACAGGAATCCTGAAAGAAGTTTTCATTTTAACAGACAGGCTGGGGGTTGATCTCCTGGTGCATGCAATGGGGGGGAGGATGGGCCTGGAATGCTAAAAACACCAGGACACACAGAGGCAGGCTGGAAAACAGACAATTCAAAACACAAAAAATGCTAAAAGATTAGATTCAAGTTTATAGAACCGTCCTGCTCTAATGTGATCCAGGATGGATTAAAAACAGATAAAGTAACAAGCAGAGAAACACTTCTGGGTTTAGTGTCACATCTTACAGCTTACTGTAGAAAATCAGGAGGGTTTTTATGTTTTCTTAAAAGTTCCTCCTGGATTATTTTCACCCTCCTGGATGAAGGCGACACTGAGGAGCAGAAGGACTGAAACATGTAGTGTGACCCGACTGGAACCTCTTTGAACTGGACCAAACACTGAAATGTCTGAAACACGCCGTCCTGGAATCAGTTAGTGTCATTGACGATGACGATCACCATGTGCTCCTCATCCAGACTACCCACAGTCCTCTTGGCCGCCTGCAGGAACTGCTGTGAGAACTCCCCTGGAGGGAAGGCGTACAGCATGGCGCCCGGACCGCTTTCCTTTGCGGCAGGCAGACTCACAACGCCGGCGGCCTCTTTGTTGCGCAGGTAGGTCACCAGGTGGCGGAGCAGACGGACCTGCAGCCCCGGCTCCAGCCCCGGGGGCTGGCGGTCCACAGGCCCCTGCAGGGCCAGAAGGATGGCGAAGCCGTCGGGGCGGCCGAGCTTGATGCGGCGCATCACCTCGTCGAGCCGCGCCTGGTCCATGCGCAGGCGCTGGGCGATCTTCAGCTGGCTGGGCTGGTTCTGAACCTGCAGCTTCAGGCTGTCCTTCATCACGGTGTGGAAGTACGCCACGCCGCCCTCCAGCAGGAACAGGTCCGTGGGGAAGCTGCTGTTCTTCAGGGCGAAGAATCCACGCCACAGCCTGGAGAGCGTGCTCTGAGCGAACTCTGACAGCGTGCTGGGAGAGGTGGGCGTGTCCGTTTGGGCGGCGGGGGAGCCGGCGGCGACCACTTCGCTGGTTCGGTGGTGGTGGTTGTTCAGGTGGTCGCTGGAAGATCGCTTGCTGTGGTGGCGGCTGGCTGACGGCTCGTCTTCGTTGGTGGCAGAGTGTCGTCCTGCGCCGCTGTCGGGGGAGTGGTCTCTGGGCTCTGTGGTCGAGTCAGGGGCTCGGACCCGGGCTCGGTCGGGGCTTGCATCGGGGGAGAGAACCCCCCCTGGACCACGCACCCTGGCTCTCCCCCTCTCCTTCTCCTCCGCCGGCCTCTCCGCAGACAGACTCCTGCTCTTCCTCCTCCTCTCCTCCCGCTCCTTCAGCCAGCGCTCCCTGCTCCTGCTGCGGCTCCTCGCCGTTCGCCCACTCCTCCCGAACGCCTCGACCCCCCCGGGCCTCCTCTCCAGGCTTCGCGTGGGGCTGCTGGGAAAGTCTCTCTCCAGCAGGCCCCTCTCTCTCTCCCTAAGGGAGAGGAGGCTGTGGGAGGGGGAAGAGCGCTCCCTGCCCACCCTGAGCTCTCGCTCCAGGCTGCGATGGCGACTGTAAGCCTCCCCTAGAAGGTCAAAGTGGGAGGAGAGAGCAACGGGAGGCTGGTAACCAGGAGGAAACGGGCGGGAGGGGCTCTCCTCAACTTTAGCAAAGTCCACCCTGAGACGGTGCTCCGGGCCCCCCAAAGGAAAGCCCCTCATCTGGGTACAGGCAGCCTGAGCAGCGTCTAAGCTTTCATACTGGATGTAAGCAAAGTTGTCTCCTTTCACATAGTCGATGTTCCTGATGCTACCAAAGCGGTCAAACTCCCGAGCCAGGGCGGCGAGCGAGTTCCCGGGCCCCAGGCCGCCCACCCAGAGCCTGGTGGTGGGGTTCGCCTTGCCGTAGCCGATCTTTATGGGGTTCCCACCGATCAGCCGGCCTTGCATCGCCACCTTGGCCCGGTGGGCCATGTCCAGGTTCTGAAACTTCACAAAGGCGTATGCCCCACCCTGTCCACGGGCTGGACGTTTAATCACCACGTCCTCAATGATGCCATACTTATCAAACCCCCTCCTGAGCTCAACCTCTGTCACGTTCCCGTCTAGGTTCCCAATGAAGAGGTTGCTGGTGGCCCTCTGGTCGTCCTCGGGCTTTAAATCCTCCACCACCGGCATGGGCGGGAAGCCGTAGGGCCGCCCCCTCTCATCCAGCATGCCATAATAATCCAACAGCCGGTCCCGGTCCCTGCTCAGAGCCAGGCTCTCCAAGGCGTACTGTCGGGCCCTCAGCTCCCGGAGGCTGCTCACCGCCGGCCCGGGCGGGGACAGGGAGCGCTGCCTATAGGGGTAGGGCGCGTGCAGCGGCAAATATCCCGCATCCGGCGGAGTGACACTGCGCCTCCTCACGTACATGGGCTCTATTTTCAGCTGCCGCTCACCCAGAACCAGCCTGGAGGACTTGGCGTGCCTGGCCTCCTTGGCGTCCTCCGGGTGGCGAAAATTGACGTAGGCGATCCGGCCGAGCTCCGGGGTGTGCGAGAGCTTCACGCTGACGTCCCCGAACTTTTTGAATTCGTGGAACAGCGCGTCCTCCACGTCCTCGTCCGACACCTGAGAGCCAAGGTTACTGATGAGCAGCGTCTTGTACTCTAAAGTCCCGGGTCTGGCGGCGGGCGGGTCGGTGGCGCGAAGCGGCGGGCGGCCGAGAAGGCTGAGCTCGTGTCGGTGGTGGAGCTCCAGAGCGGCCGCCCGCTCCTCTCTGAGCCGCGGCTTCTCTCGCTCCCTGCTGCGGCTGCGGCGGTGGTAGCTCCGACTCTCCGCCAGCAGAAGAGCCAGAGGCGGCGGCGGCAGCTCATCTCTGCGGACGCTCTCCCGCTCTCTCTCCCGTATCCGCTTAGCGACAGCCCGGGACGGACTGCTCTCTCTCCCGGCCTGCCTTTTCATCTTTCACCGGAGGATGGAGCCCAAACTTTTCCGTGCCTGCAGCGGGAATTCGGCGATTGGAGCTGGTTCCGGGAGGGTTCGTGGAGACGAGGCGGCAGCGGACGGCTTCACGGAGAGACGCGCTTCCAGGACGGCCGCTGATTTTTGGCACATTTACGATGAATAAGGTTAAAAATGATGCTAAACATTTCAGCATCACAGTAGCTGCAATAAGGCCGCCATCTTGGACAATAGGAATGTGCGCGTTCCCTGAGGAGGACGGAGGGCGCGGTGACGCACACGCGAATGACGTCATGACGTTGCACTATTTGTTTCAGAACATTATTCTGTTGAGAAAAAACGGGACTTTTTAGTTTTTCTGATTGAATTTCAACATTATATATTTACAACTCGACCGCCCACAAACAAAATAGCAAAAACAACTTTATTGGCTTGCAATCAAATTGGAATTTTAGATAATTTATTGTGTTGATTCACTGTGGCATCTGGTATTTTTGTCACCTTTGGTACTGTTTTTCTTTAAACAAGAGTATTTTATCATTTCTTATTATACTTTTATTGTTCTCTGTTAATGTCCCCCCTGGCATATGTTTTTGTTGTTTTGTGATATGTTCACAATGCAGTTTTGTATTGTTGTGTATGGTAAATAATAAAGTTTATTTAAAAAAAAACAAAAAAAACATTATTATTCTGTACAGAAATAATTCATTTATTAAATCAGTAGAACATCCTGCAAAACCGTGTCTATAAATACCTTAAGGGTTTTTGTTTCTCAAGATCCTTTAAAACATTTAAACTTTGACAGTTGTTTTTTTTATTCCTTTTTCTGGAGATTGTTCGTTAAAGGATTTTAAGTCGAAGTTAAAAATATGTCTCTCTCTGCAGAGGACAATATTGTAAAAAAAAAAATAAAATAAAAGGGGGGGACCACAAAATGAATTTTAACTTGCAAGCCTAAACTGGACACTTGTGGTCTTTGATCTCTCAGACAGCTCTGCATCATGGAGCAGGCATTTATTTTCTCAGCTATATGCTACAGTTACAATTCTTTGCTATCAGGAAGTCCAGAAGTTAAAAGCCAGCAGCTGATCCAAAATGTTGCAGAGTTCTGATATAGAAAAAGTTATTTCACTCTGACTGAAATGGTCATGAAATCTATAATCAAAAGGAATAGACCCAAAATGGGCACTCCCTTAGATATCAACTCTGGAAAGGCTAATATACTGAAGTAGTTATAATAAATCTTTGACTTTTGAAAGTGTCAACAGGTCGCTAAATGCCAGTTAATTTGTTTTTAAATCCTTGACATGAATATACTGTATATATAGATAAATTTCTAGATCATTTTATAATTTTTATAGTATATCTGAACCATTAGATAATTGTGATGTCTATGTATTTAATGATACATTTACTCATTTTATTATGTATGTTGTATGTATTTCATTCCTAGGTCAATGTACCCTAGGAATGAAATCATGATTAACTAAATTAAAAAGTCTGATGTCAGTCATCCAGGTGAAGTCAGCTTATGTTGGCTGAGATGAACCATCACACTGTGGGAGTGTAAACCTCACCCATAAGTTTATTACTGAAACAAGACAAAAGAAGCAAGCAGCCATCAACCAATGTTAATTGATCCCAGGATGTATAAAGATAAGGTCTGGCATGAGCAAAGCAAAGTTCCTCCTCTGAGATGGCAGAGTTCTTGAATAAAGGTCCAGCAGAGGTTTTAGAGCAACATATGCCGCCTTCAGTATCATGTTTCCAGGAACAATCAGTGCTTTTAATTTTTTTTGGATCAAAGTAGGAAAACCACATTCTAAAGGCCTCGCTGAGGAAGATGCAGGATATAGTCTGACTTTTCACCAATAAGGATTGGAGATGAAAAGGATGAGATGTTCATTTCAACTCTTCTTTGAAATTTGCAGTGCAAATAAACTGATTTTGTTTAGGCTGTAAACAGATTTTAGCAGTGGATTCTTTAATACCATGCTTTTCCAGACCGGCCTTACTTGTATGGAGAGGGAACGATGGAAGGTGGAATGTGCTGTAGAGAAAAATTCTAAATAAACCAAAGCATAAATGCGTGCATTATTTTACAGCAGTGCGTTTACTAAATTTTCCCAATACTGGTTTGTTTGACCTTCAAATATTTGTGGAATAAATTATAGCAGTAACTGAAAAATTTATTCCTTAAGCTTTGGTTTTTTTTAAAGGAAAAGTTCCATGAAGGACTCGGCATTGGTTCACATATATGTTCCTAAAAAAGCAAGTTTCAACTGCAAACATCACAGAACATCAATCAGGTCCAGATTTAACATAAAGTCATCTGAGGTTCTGAGAGCAGAGCTGGATGCACTGGAAAAAATCTAAATCTAGAGAAGTCATTTTTTCTTAGAGTAAGTTAATTTCTTTTTGGATTGAGGAGGTAAAATATACATTTTGCCAATGGAACAAGACAATTTACACTTAAAATAAGAAAACACAATTGCATTGTCTTATTTGAAGTGCATATTATCTAATTATCTTATTTTAAGAATAAAAATACTCATTCCATTGGCAAATTATCCCATTTACCTGCTCAAATTAAGGGTAAATACACTTATTAATTTTATACTTATTTCTAGATCGTTTTTCCCAGTGTGTTCTTTATTAACAAAGTCCAAAACAAACTAAAAGTTTGGAAAAACCTTTAATAAATACAGAAGATGAACCAAAATATGATCAAACGTCAAAGAATTTCATCTTAAAAGTCGGGTCGAAGAAAAAACTGTAAATATAATTCCCTCTAAATCCAATCCTAGGTCTCTAGTTTTATCCTCAGGTTTGTTTCTTGTCCTTTACGGACGGGATAGGATAGGATCCGTCCTCGGTTGATCCAGGCTCACACCTGTACCTGGGTCAGGTCAATTTCAAACTGGGATCTAATGGAACCACTTAGGAGAACCATCTGAGGGTTTAAGGCCAAATTCCAAACCGCCTTCTAAGCACTAACCCCTAACTACCAGTTTCCCTCCCAGTAGTCACACTCAGATGAGGGGGTACCAACGAGGATGGATTGATGCAGACTCGCTATTTAAGCGCTGAACGCTCCACCCGCCCGACCCACTAGGTGGTTTGGGACGGTTCTGTGTGGCGGACCCTCCGTGGGAATGCTAGAATGGAGGGTTGGAGCTCAGGGTCAGGTTTGGGATTGAGACTATAAGCGTCACTTTTTGTTTTCATCGCTTCCTGTCCGTTTATTTTAGTTTTGACCTTTAAAAACAAAAGAAAGATTCTGGGATTTTGTGACATTGGCAGTGATACTGGTTTTAATCCAGGAACCGTTCTTAAAAAGAGAGCGACTCGGATGAAATGGAAGAAAACAGAGAGTGACTGGATTGTGACTCGTTACGTAAACAGGAACAGAAACAGAGTTAAACAGTCTAACTCGTTCTGATAAAAGAAGAGACAAAGTTTTCTTTAAATCAGGTGTGGAGCAGAGCAGCCAAGGGGTTTCAAATTGGGCTGCAATGCTGTAAATCTTTGAGAGAGGGAGCCGCTGAGCAGCTGGGTAACAGGAGAAATCTCACCTCTGTCTGGATTATTTGTTTAAGGCCATTTCTTAGCTGAATTGACTCCATCCTAAACTCTAAAAGTTTATTATTTTGGTTTTGCTGACTGATTACTCCTCAGCAGCCTGGCGTTCTGCTGGTCGGGGACATTTTGGGACGCAGCTTTAGATGTTTATTGTGAAATGATTTGAACGAAGGAGCAGGGATGCTGCACCTGCTGCCAGCTTTATTTTACAGTACAGTAGAAACCCTCAGCCTGCTGTGCAGTTTAGCACATGAGTGCACACCAGAATAAGACATGACAAAACTCCCGTTCTTCCTCCTCACAGGATTTTTCCAGTCTGTGCAGAGTCCGCCGCCGTGTCCTTACAGATCTGTCCGTGCCTTGGCGGCTGCAGGCGCGTACTTCGGCATGAGCTCGGTTATTTTGCGGATGAAGTCGGACTTTTCGGCGCAGCCTTTGCAGGACTCGTCCCACTCTTCCAGGATCTTCTTCAGGTCCTTGACTTTGAGCTTCTTCAGGTCCACTGTGGTCAGGTCCAGCTGTTTGTCTGCAGGCGAGACAGAAAGAGGAAAATGTTTTGGAACGCCAGCGGAGCCCAGCCGTCTCAGACTTTCCCCACGCCGGTTTGCTTTCTTACCGTATCGCAGCTCACAGATCTGACTGTCCTTCTTCTTGAGCTTCTCACAGATCTTCTCCACTGGGACGTGGTAGCTGAGGGGTTTGGACACCTCGTTTATCATCTTGGTGGCTGCATCACTCGTTGCTCCGATGTAGTAACACTGGACACATGGAGGAGACAGAAAAGTTTAGATAAAGGTTAATGTTCTTGAACAGCTGAGGGGTCACTGGGTGAATTTGTGCTCAGCCAGATAACAGAGCCGCTCAGAGTCCGGATTTTGGGCTTTTGGTCCTAAACCCGAACGATTTATATTTTCTACTTTCGGCTACTTAAGATTGCTAATGAAATGTAAAATAGCAAATATAGGAAATAATATATATAATATAATATGTTGAGAATATGTTGCTGCTGGAACTAAAGATGCCCGGATGGTGGAGGGAAAGTGACTGCAGATGGGTCAGAGGTTGGAAACACGGGGACTCTTCCACTTTTTATCTCTAAAGGATGAAAAAAGCTCCAGCTCATCCGAGTGAAATGATGACGGAGACGCCGTTTAATCCCATTTTACTCACTTCGCTCTCGGCCATCATAGACAGGTTTGTGTCAGGCCCCGTCCACGCGAAGTCAAAACGAACACAAAACGCTAATATTTTCCAGAACGTTTGTCGTAAAGACGGAGACGTAAAATAAATGTGATCGTCCGCACGAATGCATGAAAACGCTGCAAAATGTATGCCAGGCCTGTAAGTGGCGCTGTGGTGCCAAAGCAAAAATAGGCGACGAAATGTTGGGCATGCGCACTAATATTTATACATGGTTGCCCTGCGGGTCCATTTTCGTGGTTCAGTCAAATTCAGGTGCTGAACTATGTGGTCGATATTGCTCTGTTCTTCCTGGAGATATTCCAGAAGAAGAAGATTCTGTTGTAAGCCCGACAGCAGGGTGAGTAGCATTAGCAGCAACCATTGAACACAGTACGGCGCCATTGTTGTTGTGATACTGTGTCGCGCATGCGTGTTTAGAGGCGACGCTATGACGCATGCGTGTAAGAAAAAAAATGCGGTTAGAGCGTAAAGATGGAAACGCGAAAACGGCGTTTCAAAATCTTCCCACTCTGAAGGCTGAATAAAAAAAAAGATCGTTTACAGACCCCCGAAACGCCGGCTTCGTGTGGATGAGAGGCTGGTTTGGTGAAAAATTTGTGCGTTTAGGCCAGGGTTTGACTTCGTGTGGACGGGGCCTCAGAGTAGGGTTGGGAATTGAAAATATTTTCACGATTCCGATTCCCTTTTCGATTCTATGAAACGATTCGATTCTTTATCGATTCTTTTTTCGATTCCAATTTGGGGGAAAAAGGAGAACAAACAGTTTGATTATCAGAATCAACTTTGTTTACTTAACTATTGCACAATCTTACAAACTCAACAAGATCAAGATGTCCACAGGAAATGTGAAACTGGAGTAACATCTGTGTTTAAATGAAAAATGAATACAAGAACAAACTTAATAACCAACAATGTCTAATAACAAATGATGGGATAATAACCTATTTTAAATAACAAAAAATACTAATTATAAAACAGTAGTAGCACTGCAAAAAATGTAAATCTAAATAAGTCATTTGTTCTTAAAATAAGTTCATTTTTTCTTGAATTGAGTAAGTAAGTGAGACATTTTGCCAATGGAACAAGACAATTTACATTTGAAATAAGAAAAAAACTATTGCATTGTCTTATTTCAAGTGCATATTATCTAATTATCTTATTTTAAATGTAAAAATACTCATTCCATTGGCAAACTATCTTATTTACCTGCTCAAATTAAGGGTAAATACACTTGATTTAAGATATTTTTACTTAATTTCAGATCGTTTTTGCAGTGAGGGAAAATTAACAATTCTTTTGCAGAAAGATGAGCATATCTGCTTTTTCTGGAAGGATACGGGATCTTTCAGCGCGTATGGTGTCTCCAGCCGTGGAAAATACCCTCTCAGATGGGGTGGAGGAAGCCTGCACACAGAGGTAGTTTTCAGCCAGTCCAGATAGCAAGGGCAGCGTATCTTGCTTGTTCCACCACCACAGTGTGGCGCTATCCCTGCAGGGGATGGAGGGCAAGCTTTTACAGAGCTGGATTTCCTGATCTATCCTCTGGGCTAAGGAAAGACGGGGCTTTGATTCACAAAGTGACCGCAGCTCGTTGTCTTCCTCCTCGAATAGTTCTTCCAACTTGCGTAACTTGCGTAACTTACGTAAAAAACGTGACGCAAGTCGTGCTCCCCAGAGCCGGCGCTCTAGGCTCTGGTGCTGCGGGAATCGAAAAAAGAATCGTTCAGCGAGCTGCCAAACGATGCCATGGAATCGGAAAATACGGAACCGGTTCTTAACAGGAACCGGTTTTCGATTCCCATCCCTACCTCAGAGGCTCTAAATAAATCCTGGCCAGCAGGGCTTGGAAACATTCTTTGGGAAACTCCACATAAGAAAACTAAATCTGTTCTATTTCTTGCTCGGTTAAATGGATCCATATGGGTGATTAATTGATTATCGATTCACTTATTTTTTTTTGTTTAAGGCAGTTAAATTTCTCAACTAATTTATTTCACCAGTCGATTCCCTGAGCTTCCATAGCTCAAAGTGACATTAGTTCATCACTTGTCTTAGATGTGTACTTAGAACTCATTGCTCACTGTGTGCTACAACCAGCTGCCAACATTTAGTTTAGATTTTATTTGGTCATGCTGTAAATAACGGTTACCTCCCAGAGAGGAGGGTTGAAATCAGATCAGATCGTTTTTGGAAGCAATAAATGTCATTTGTAATTTTATGAAACTTAAAAGGTGTTGTGGAGAATTTTTTGCAAATTTTTAAAAGACCTGGCCTCTCCTCAAAAAAAAAAAAAAAAGCATATGCATAACCACTGCCTATTAAAAGTGTGCGAGAGGTTTCTCCTCGTGCACGCTCCATTTAATAGTTGCTGTTCTCATAGCTCATACAAGCTTACGGTGTCTGAACGTCAGTTCTAACCCCTAGAATCCCTCAATCACTATATAGAGCAGGGACTATATAGTGGACTCTTACCGTTCGGACAGATAATCACTAGCTTTCTGCTCCCTGTTTGTCACGCAACTCCTCCTCCACCGTGCCTGCACCATTCTAGTGGGCCGCTGTGACAGCAAATCCCGTAATGTTTTGCGAGGAGAGCTCTCAGCGCAAAGCATTCTGGGATATATCTGCCTCTTCTGAGGCATTTCTCTTCTTCTACACTTCGTACACTTTTTTCTCTTACAACCTTCGGCCAATTTCAAAGAACTGCTGTGAGAAAGGTGAGCTCCAATGTCTGAAACCGTAGCTCACCACAGATCTACGCCTGAAAGTGTGCATGCTTAGAAAAAGATAGCTAAATGGACGAACATGGAGGACGGATGGATATCACCAGACTAATTAGCAACAATTAGGAGGACCTCTCAGACGATCCACCTGGAAATAAAAGATCGTCCTCTATACCTTTAAGATGAAGATTTACATTTCAGAAAATTAAACTTGGAGATTAGATTTCTAAGCTACAGCCGCAAAGCCCTACCTACGGCTATGATAGAGGAGGTTGACCATCATTTAGGATTCCCCTCCAGCTCCTCACCTTTTAGATCCGCATGAAGCAACAGAACCAGGTTCAGAGACTCAGAACAATGTTTTTTTTTTCTGTAATCAGGCAGAAGTGACTGACAGAACCAGAACTCAGCAGCATCACTGATCTGTCCTTTAGTTACATTATGTGTCTATAACATCTGCAGTATAAAGCCAATAATTTCAGGGTTTTACAGAAACCTCAGCTGTTTCTCTTGGTTTCCATTCAAAGCAGGGGGCTGGAAAATTACAGCAAATATATAAACACATTTCCTCTATAAAAAGCATCAAAAGGTGGCAGAAATATGGAGCCCAGTTCAAAATCTACGGATGAATGAATCCGTTTATCAGAACTGAAAACCACAGGAGGAGCAGATTATTGATTTACTCACAAATCTGTTCTCTTTTCCTTTGTTATCTTTGCAGCTCTTCAGCAGCGCCTTCTCAATATCTGCGCTGTTCAAGTTGGATTCCTTCACCGACTCGTAGAACTTTCCCAGGAAGGTGACGCACACTAAAACAGAAAGGAGGACAAACAGTCACTTTTGGTCTCATTGCTTCAGGAACCTTGATTTCAGTCTCCAGTTTCCCATCAAAGCGAAACGGCAAACTGAACCAACAGGTTGGATATATTTCTCTGATAATGAGCTATGGATCATCACTGGAAAGATCATTTAATCAAATCTGGAACGGCTTCCTTGTTTGGAACGACGAGGACTTTATGCTAATAAAAAAACAAAAAAAACAATGCTGTGATTTCAAGTTTTTATCTTCAATGACAAAAAAAAAAAAAAAAAAATTTAAATCTTATTTTCCAATTCTGTCAAGCTATGACGATCCAAAATATTAGATAGCTGCTCTAAACCAAACCGAATGTTTCAGTTACCTAAAGAAACACTCAAAGCAGCACCTGCAGCAGATTATAGATGAAGATCAACTAAAATGTGTCTCATTAAGGCTCAGAGTCCTGCTGGAGTTTAAGAAATGTTTGACTAAGAAGTTTTTCAATGATCACCAGCTGCAGGTTCTGCTCAACAGAGATAAAAAAAAAAAAAAACTAAAATGTCAAGGATCTCTTTTGTGACATCTGGTCAACCCTGAACCAAAGACTATTTTCAGTCATTTTAAATCAAATCTGGTGATAACCTCTTCCCCATACAGATAAACCATTTTATTTAATTTCTTTTTCATATCTAGCTCTCTCTTGTTTTTGCTTTAATAGTTTTTAATAGTTTCTCCAGCGTGGAGAAGGATAAACATCCTAAGATGTAGCCTTAATGGATCAGACGTGTTAGCTTAGAACATCCCAGAGATGCTGGATTGGTCGCAGCAAAGATAGACCAACATCGGACAGCCCATATAAGCCTTTCCCCTCCTCAAATCAGTTTAATCTGATAAGTGCATGCATTCATTAGTGCATCAGCAGCCATGTCTTCAGATTACTTAAAGAGCCGGAATCGCAGCATCCTCCTCTTAGAAACCATTGTTGACGTGTCATCACCCTCAGCACGGGCTCCCCTCAGGGCTGCGTCCTGAGCCCCCTGCTGTTCACCCTGATGACATATGACTGCGTCCCCAGGTTCACCACCAATCACATCGTGAAGTTTGCGGACGACACCACGGTGGTGGGCCTCATCAGGGACGACAACGACCGGGACTACAGAGAGGAGGTGGAGCAGCTGGTGGACTGGTGCAGTGAAAACAGTCTGATCCTGAACGTGGAGAAGACGAAGGAGATCATCGTCGACTTCAGGAAAAACCGCCCCCACCATGCTCCACTGCTCATCAACAGCTCAGCTGTGGAGGTGGTCAGCAGCACAAAGTTCCTGGGGGTGCACATCACGGACAACCTCACCTGGACTGTAAACACTTCATCTCTAGTGAAGAGGGCACAGAAGCGCTTGTACTTTCTGCGGAGGATGAGGAGAGCCCGCCTGCCCCCGCCCATCCTCACAACCTTCTACAGAAGCACCATAGAGAGCGTTCTGACCAGCTGTCTCTCTCTGTGGTGTGGAGGCTGCAGAGCTTCTGACTGGAAGAATGTGAGGAGGGTGGTGAGGACAGCGGAAGGAATCATTGGGGCTCCTCTTCCCTCCATTAAGGACATTTCATCACAGCGCTGTGTGTCCCGAGCCCGTAATATCATCAAAGACCCCTCACACCCCCACCATGGACTGTTCTCCCTGCTGCCCTCTGGAAAGAGGTTCCGCAGCATCCGCTGCAGATCCACCAGGTTGTGCAACAGCTTCTTCCCCACTGCCATCAGACTGTTGAACCTTTGATCCACAATCCGAACTCTGCACCTATTGCACATTATCGGGCATCAAATGCTGCTGAACTTTTAACTTTTAGCCCTTTAAATTGTTCATCTCATTGTATTTTTCAATAACGCATTTTTTGCACAAATGCCATTTTGCACTGAACCACTGCAACTTGCACACTGTCTCTTATCCTCTGCACTGTTCACACTTTGACCACTGCTGCACTTTTTGTATTTTTCTATAACTCGTGCCATTGTGAAATATCAATGCAACGTTCATAAGCTGTATGTAACGCAATTTCGTTCTGTATGCACCCTGTGCATACAAAATGACAAATAAAGAAGTCTAAGTCTAAGTTTGTTAATAAATGTTAATAGCCTGTACTTGAATAGCTGTAACCATAAAGCTCTTTACACTCCATTCAGACATCCACGCACACATTTACAGATGGTGACAAGCTACACTGTAGCCACAGCTGGCCTGGGGCACGCCGACGTAAGTGAAGCTGCTGCGTAGAGATCAACTGATGCAGGTTTTTACAAACGATGCCAATACTCCCATATTTTTGGCATCGGTCTAAACGATCCGCAACATGTACAGCCGATTTTTATGATTTCATAACACAGAGCTTTCTTTTAACATTCCCTATTTTTCTTATTTGAAGTAAATTGGAACATTTTTTTCATTGTAATTTTTAATGGAGGAAGAAAAAGCAAAATGAGATTCAACAGATCCGGGATTAGAATAATCAGGCTTTAAAAACTTTTATTGGTTGATCTTCAAGATTGAGATCTGCCTCTGGTTGCAGAGTTTCTTAAATGTTCTGTGGCCGGGACCATGATTCTGCTGCAGTCAGGGACTAGAGTTTTCATAAAGCTGGTCAGCAAAGATGATGAGAGCGAACATCAGAAGCCTCTTTACTTCTTCAGGTTTCTCCATCAGGGAAACTTACAGTTACTATTCGGTTCTGATAGGATGCGATCAGCATGAACATCAGGAGGGACCTGCAGCTACACATCACCAAACCTGAACCTGGAAACAGCTTTCTCTTTAAAAGCTGGATCAGAAAATACAGCCGGGCCTTCAGACAAACCGAAACACAAGAAACATTTGATCATAACCTCACCCCAACAGGATTAACATGAAACAAGGAACGGAATGTTCAATTAGTTTGTTCTACCTCCAGTGACTAAAAGGTAAGAATTATAAAAAGTTATGCAAATTAATTTCATAGAAGGTAACACCTGTACTGAGTCCTGATGAGTGAAACATTTAGGAAGAGCTCATCCATTTAAACCTGATTAATTAATTGACTTTATTGATCTCACAGTGGAGAAATGTACTCGTTACATCAGCTCAGAAGAAGAAGGTGCCTAAGGAAGAAAAGAATCATGCGGGTATATACAGTACATCCTCACATATATCTATCTCTATATATCTATATCTATATAGATATTTCTTAGACTTAGATTTATTTTGTCATTTTGTAGACACAAATGTAAACAAAAAGAAATGTTGTTAAGAACAGCTCTATATATATATATATATATATATATATATATATATAAAAAACAGCTTTTTTACTGCTCCTTAGATTTTATTACTCTTCTATTGTGAATAAATGTTAGATATTTATTGAATTGAAATTGAATTGAAGTCAAATTCCACGCCAGATCCTGTTTAGATAACATTCAATTTAAGAATATTTTGGGCGCTCTCCTTAAATGAATGAAAAAAATATCAGGAGAATTCAGCCACTTAGTAAAACTACACCAAATGCACAAATCGGATAGAGTTGGATTCCTTTCCTTTCCCGGTGGAAAGTTTCTGAAGCTAAAAGCTAACGTCGTCGCTGCTAACAGCAGCTAACTCTTCCTACCTTCACATTCTCCTTCTTTCAGGCCTTGGACGGGTCCCGGCACCAGAGCGAGGGCCAGAGCCACCGACAAGCCGCTCAAACACAACATTTTCAGCACCAGTTAGGTCAGAAAAACCTCCGTGAAATAATCGCTGAGGACCGACGGTGTGAACTCATAAGACTCCGCCGCTTCGGAGCTGACAGACGCCGGTAAAACCAGGGGTGGGCATTGAGTCCCACACAGCCGCCACCCGATTGGTCAGAATTTCCACCAACCTACACGCACTTTGCTGTGATTGGATAGCGGTACCACTTTCCGGGCACAACGTCCAGTTGGCGCGGACTGATTGGTCCACAGCGACACGATGCTTTTAGGTGGAGGAATCTTCCAAAGAGGATGGAAATACATTCATGATGATAAATCTTAAACCCTGTTTGGTGATCTAGATTAACAAACAGAAATAGAACAGAATAGAAAAAAACTTTATTGTCTACCATACTCGATGATGGCAGAAATTTGGCTTGCTCACACTCAATAATGTATAAAAATACATTAAAACAAAATTATAAAAGAGTTCATTGCAGACACAGCAGCAGCAGCAGCTTCAATTCATCAAGGGAAGGAAAGCAGAACAGACCGAGTTTCATTTAAAACTAGAAATAGTGAAATATACAGTTTCATATGAAATATTATATTTTAAAGATACGTCTAATGTCACATGTTAAATAACAGCTCCACACTGAGAGGCTCTAGGGTTTTTACTTACAGAAGCTGAACTCTACACCTCTCGATAAATTAAGGAAATATCTGGAACAACTCTCTAGGAAACCATAGTTATAAACCATAAGCCAACAAACAGATTCATATGTTTGCATTTTCAAAATGAACATGTTTGATTAACCATATATCAGTAAAAGAGGTGATGTGTCCCCCAGAGAGGATGCAGAAAACAGGGTTAGCTTTTTTTTCCCCCTCCTAAACAACTTCCAACACGTTTGTTAACTTTTTTTTTCAGCTTTTATTGTCATTACACTGTCAAAAGCAGAGAGCAACAAAATCACTCTGCATTTAACCAATCCCCTTGGGGAGCAGTGGGCTGCCATGGTGGGGCGCCCAGGTAGCAGGGCTGCTACTTGGGCTCCAGCCCCGGAAGTTTCCCCAAGAGCCCCGGTCACCAAATCCACAGGGTTTGTTGTTGATGAAGAGAGGAAAAAACACAGGTAAAGACCTACAAGTAAATAAATTTCTACATATTTATGGAGGGGGAAATGATTATTTAATGCAGCTTAAATATTCGTTCTCTCCTCCTCTCCTATCATTGAGAAATGAAGAGCAACTGTTTCCAAATTCTCAAATCTGTTATGTGTGATAGCATATCATATACTAGAAATTTCCATAATCCAGTAATCTGTCATATTTTACATTAAAAAAGGGATTTAACTGAAAGTGTATACTCTCATCTTCACCCTCAGAGCTAAGCCCCTGATCTCCTAGAATCATAGATCCGCCCTTGGTTACGGGTCTTGATCTGGGAGCCAGAGTGGCGGTCTGTGGGAGTGGGGTTCAAAATCAGAACCTCAGGATTCCAAGCTCTATGCCCTAACCACAAGGCTGCCACTGCCCTGTGGCATTGGGGCCTGAAAATGAGCAACAAATCTTATCTGCTCTTCACCCCTGTTCCAACAAATGTTTAAACATGTCCTGCATGTCATTCTTGTTTTAGGAAATATGTTTTCAACCTGTTTCAAAGATCTGCAGCAGCAGTGCACCAGGCTGGTTCAGATTTATCATGCAGTCTCTGCTGCTATGAGCTTTTCCTCCAAAACAGTTTGTATTACGGAGGACTAATTGATCAGAAATTCAACCCATTTAAAATCATCTACTAGTTACACCCTGGATGAGTAACCATGACATCCCAGAGGTTCACTGAAGCATAAGAGGATCATCACGGCTCCATATAGAAACATCCTGACTGCGATTCAGATATCTTCCTGTCCTTTTTATCTTTAACTTGAACATTTACCATTTTATCTAAATATATTTTATTAATAAATGCATAGTATTTTTTCCTGTCTCAGGATGGGTCTTTATTTTGCTGTACTTTAACATTTACTCTTTTTATATTATCCAATCTTGGCTGTTTCTTTTAGTTGTCCCCTACTTGAATTTATATTCCTTAGATCAACTTTTTTTCTTCAACATTTAACTATAAATGCTGAAATGACCGGTTAAAGTAAACCTTAAACGGTGCAATTCTAAAATAAAATAAAAATCTCTCTCTCTCTCTCTCTCTCTCTCTCTATATATATATATATATATATATATATATATATATATATATATATATATATATATATAAAACTTTTATTCCTTACACAATATTTCAGTAGCTCTTTTACCAAATATTTTTTTAGACTTGATTAATTTCTTTTGCTATATAATTATTTTTGAAACTACTAAACCTGGACACATGTCCTCTGGTATGATGTGTCTCCCCATAGATGAGAGGCAATCACAGTGGGACCGAAAATATTCAGAACATTTCTTGGAGCCATTCCAGCTCTGCTCCGATGGAATTGTAGAAATTTAACCAGGGGGACACCATACATTGATATTGCCCCCCCCCCCCAAAAAAAATGTTTAATAATTGCGCAACCTTTAAAAGTGCTATAAAGACGCACTGATAAGTATAATTTACATTATTAGTTCAATTTTTTATGTAATATTTTTACAAAGGAAAACGATCAGAATGTGAAAAAGTTAAATATATATTAACTTCCAACTTTACATTTACATCCCATCAAAAAAAAGAGTTTATTTGAAACAAAAACAGCTGTATCTATGTACACATGAATAGAAAATAGGTTAAGGATTGTGAAAAAATATTCCTATTAAGTTTCACTATAACTTTATTAAAGGACAGATTATTTTTATGCGGGCCTGAGAGCTTATTGTTCATTAATCTGTACCTGTAATGACAAAACATGTATTTTTCATGTGGCTGCTTCGGGCTGCTCATGAGAATGATCAAGATTTATAGACATCTTTTAATGGTTGTAATATCATCTAAAAATAAAAGAATCTAACTATCCAGGATACAGAGTAAACAACTGGAGGCCATTTGAACAGTTTAATCTATCGTTCATTTGAACTATTCAGTTAAGAAACATTTCTAAAAAAACGAGAGGTGGTAGAATTGGGTCATGGTATCAGACGCCTTCTCCCTCTCTCCTTTTTCTTTCCTTTAAGTTCCTTTTTAAAACCCACTTTGAGGAGGTGCATTTTTCAGCCGTGGACGTTTTTACAACACTGCTGCTTATTTACATATTTTCTTGTTAATGTGATGCTTTCGTTATCACTATGTTAAATGACATGCGCGTGGCATTTAAGCTCCGGTACGAGCGAACTGCAGGTGACAGACAGGGAGACCTGATCCGATGCAGCCAGGAGCTGAGGACAAAACTATTTATTGCAATTTCAGGGGAGGGGGGGGTGTCAATAAATTCATGCTTTTACTGTTTACTGCTGAAAAATGAAGGAGAATGTGAAGATTATTTAGTTTACTGCTGGATTTTCTTTTTATATTTGAAAAATATAGCAGGACAAATCTTTTTTTCTTCTTTTGGGCCCCTCTTAAGTCCAGTGGCCCTTAGAATCATCCTAACTTTTTCCCCCCCAATACGGCGTCCCTGCATTTTCCAAAAATAACTAAAAGAATCCATATAAACCCACTACAAAACATTCAGGTTTTTCTTCTTCTGTGGATGCAGTAAAAAATGACCAAGATCCCAGCAGAGCATTCAGCATCTTTATTGAGCAAAGAACCACAGACAAAATCCCAGCTGGTCTTAAAATGTTAGCTCAGGAGAGCTTTGGCAACTTCAAGTGTAAACATTAAATCTGGAAAACAAAGAGATTGACAGAACACATTGAAAACAAGCTGGACCTAAAGAGACCGTCGCCTGGGATGGTTCCAGTATAATCCAGATTAAACCCCAGTTGGGCCATCTTTAGTCCTCGTTCCGTCCTCCGCTCCCCCTCAGAACACAAGCTGTAACTTCATGACTGCAGATGGGATGAAGGTCACTTGTCCTTTAGGTGTACATCATCTCAGCCATGTGGGACATCTTCTTAGGGATGTAGAGGTAATACTCCATGTAGCCAGAAAGGTCCTCTATCGTGATGTCGTCTACGTAGGCTCGCGCCTGCTCTGAGCACGAGCGAGGTGAGCCGGATGACAGCGGCGAGGACGATGAAGTACTGCTCAGAGTTCTGGATTCCTCCTCCTGGACCGAAAGGCTCCCTTCACACTCTGAGATGACGCTGCGGAGCCCGGTGAAGGAGTAGACCTCCACATCCTTCCAACCAGGAGCATGCGACCTGCAGTGGCACCGCTGTCTGGTTTCCGGCTGGCTCTCCTCCCTGGGTTCTGACTCACTGCCCTGGCAGCAGGAGCAGGGGGCCAGGGGCCCGTCTGAGGAGCTGCGACTGTGGAGCTCCGACAGAGCTCTAAAGTCTGCAGTGTTGGATCCAAGAGGCGCCGAAGCTCCCGCTCGATCAGGGGAACCATTATCTGTGCCGCTCTCCTCACTTGACCGGGCCTCTCTGGAGCTTCTACCCTCCCACCGCGGGGACTTCGCTGCTGTGGTGATCTGCGGTAAGGATGGCGAGGAACCCATGCCCCCCATCCGTGTGTCATAACTGGGGCGAACTCCAAAGATCACAGGAGAGCCACGGCCCAACAGGCCTGAGGAGCACCGCTCCGTCTGAACCGGAGGCCCAGCAGAGGACCCAGGAGATTCATCAACTGCCGCTTGAGGTTCTGCAGACTCAGACAAGGCCAGGCGCTGCTGCTTCAGGCAGCCACCGGGGGGCGCCAGAGCTGAGGCTGCGCTGCTGCAGTAGGTGAACCTCGGAGGGTGGAGGATGGGAGACTTGGACCTCCGTCGCCTGGTCCTGGATGAAGTCCCTCTGCTGGTTTTCCTCGTGCAGCTGAAGGAAAGCAAAACAAAGATGAAAGATTTCCAGTTTAAACGTAGGATAAAAAAAACCACTGCAGACATAAAGACCAGCTGCTTCTGTGCTTGACACATTCACTGTTGATCCAGGATGGACCTGATCAGTTTATGGGATTTATTTGGTAACAGGACGCAGGGCTCCAGACCAACATTCTGCTCCGTGTGCCCATCTCATTGTCTTAGTTCTACCCAAATCACAAATTTAATTTAATGTAGTTTTTTTAAACCACTACTCATACATGATACTGACAGTTAAAGATTAACAATCGGCTTAAAATAAAACTATTTATATGAAGATGAATTTAAAGAGTATTAGTGCTTCACTGAGCTGGAATCAAAACATAAACGAGCTCCAGATAGTTAGACCAGAAGATTAAAAGCAACAAACCAAACACCTCCTGCCTGCTATGATGCCTTTTAGCAGTTATAACGCCGTTATTATGCAACACTGACCGGTCCAATAGAGGTCAGACTAAAGACTAAATTTAAATATTACACCTCTATTAATTTCTAATAATAATAATTGTAATAAAAATTGTGAGGAAACAATTAATCATGGTTAAAAGTCTACAGCTTATTCAAGTCGTAGGAAAGTAGCCGTTCCAACCGTTGCGTTTCTGAATTCTCCAGAGTGGTGCAAGACTTTACACGAGTGTATAAAGTGAATGTGATTGGTTGATTATGAAGGGGGCGGGATAGTTTTGGCAAAAGGTTTGCAAGCAAGTTTGGTTGTGGCCGGTTTGTCGGAAGCATCTTGCTAACCAGTTAGCAACTTAGTGCTAGTAGGTTCCCAATGGGAAATTCCATTGGGACCAAGTAGCACTAAATTGGTGACTTAGAAACGGTACTGTGAAGGAACGCTATGGACAGAGGAAACATGCAAGAGGAGGAGAGTTTACTGTTGGAGGTCGTGGATGAGTCTCCTCCGTCATCCATTTTTTATTTAGAGGAGGAAAGCGGGGACGAAGATGTTGTGGAAGAGGACGCCAGGGCGGCAGAAGCTTGGTTTGGTGTAGAAGGCTTCCAGCCGTACATGTTTGAGCCCTTGCCTCGCAACGCTGCCAGTTCTGTTAGCTCTACGCCTGCCGAAGACACAGACGTCCATCCCCGTGAACACTGGGACGGAACTCAATGGGAAAGGAAAGGATTCTGATTTCTGATTTAAACCGTTGCGTATATTGGCTGCAACATATGAATCAAGATGCTATGACCGAAAAAATTTGATTGACAGATGACCGTTGATATATGATTGGCCGAATTTAGGTGTTCAGGCTGAAGTATAACTAACTGGCCTGCAGAAGATAAAGGGGAAAAAACATAGATTTTAAAGACAAGTTTTTTTTTTTAAATAGAAATTTTCTAAAGTTTGGGACAATGTCGCCTGATAAAGAGTACATTTATATACATGTTTAAGCAAAGATTATTCGACATTTAAATATTATTTCCCTACAACTTTAAGACTGACAAGTCTTCATACGTAGGGCTAAAGTACTTCCCTGGAGGATTTCCATAACTTTATCTCCATAATATGATGACCAATGTATCAGTGAATGATATCTAGAAATAAATATATGCAGCAGCTAAACATGAAGCTGTGTGAGGCGAGCTGAATGCACTTACCAGTGCCAGGTTTCCTTGGAGCAGCTGAGTTTGGCTTTGGCTCCACTGCTTCCGTCCAGAACCACTCTGGACGCTGCTCTAGGAGCCAACGAATCAGAGACGCTCACAGCTCCAGACAAACTGAAACAAGAAAGACATCGAGAAGTCTGTTAGGAATGGGGATTACATTTTTTATTTCTGGAAGAAACAACAAAGAACAGCCTAGAAAGGAAGGGGCAGGAAAACAGCTGAAGGCTTCATTCAAATGTCTCTACAAAAATTAGATGCATTTTCCTCTCACTGAGGGACTCAAGTGGAACGATATTAGCAACTCTAATGAAGTGAAAACGGCTTTTCCCAGATGAGCTTTGCTTCTGTTCAATAGTCTGGAAGAGGTGGAAATATCTGGATCTAGTCCGCCCCATTCCTAAGGGCTGGACCCGTTCGTCCGGTTCAGTTTGCATGTTTTCTAAGCCAAAACAAGGCTTTGTTTTGATCCACTCTATAAAGCCTTGAACTCAACTCTATTTCTGACATTTTGAATTGAGAACGCTTCCTGGATGGGAAGCAAAATGTCTTCAGGCTTGGAAACAAAGTTTTTACTTTTTTGGAATCTGGATCTAGCCTGCAGGTTGAACCATTCGTGACGGACAGTTCGCCAGCAGGAGATAAACACAGAGAACCTTGATGCTCAATCCCGATTTTTTGTGAAATCTGATTAGTTTTTTGCGTTCCCGTTCATATTTCCAAATATATGCCACTTGTATTTGATCACCTGTGTGAACTGCAGTCATACAACCTAAGTGTACCACATGCGCAATGACGTCACCAGCAAGCATGCTCTGTGTTCACGGAGGTAAACATGGATGTAGTGCCGGAGAACATCTAGAAATCTTTCCCAACCTTAAAAACTAAATCTTTCCAAGATGGTTATACATAAATACTGCTCTCTGCTTTATCGTCCACCATTGTTGATGTTTTTCTTGCCACATAGCAAAAAGCAGAAAAGTGACCACTGTCGGGTATTAATGACATTCACATCAGATGAATGCGACCTGGCTGTTCAGACACAGGTCGCATTTGAAAAGATCAGATTCATATCGAATTCAGTGCAACTTCAGGCTACAGTGTGAACGTAGCCAGAGTCCGGAGCTTTAAGCGGTTTACCTGAGAGCTACAGCCAGATGGTCCATTCATGTTGATTTCCAGCTGGAAATCAACATGAAACAAACCTCTAAGCTGATCTGTATTTTAGAGGGCAGTGGTGACCTAGAGGTTAGAGCATTGGGCTGGGATCAACTCCCCCACACTGCGCCACACAGAGGCAGCCCACTGCTCCCCAAGGGGATGGGTTCAATGCAGAGGCCAATTAAGTTAAATTATTATTCTTTATCTGTACTGCCTGAAGTTCTGGAGAAGCAACTAGAATAACAGCTGATTGTTCTGGTTCTCCTGGGAGAAAAATCTTCATGTTTTTTCTATGAGTTATTGAGTCGCTGCTTTTCTGGAAGCTCCAGCTGTCACAGATGAACTCCTGGGTTAAAGGAGGTTTACCTCTCAGCATCGACCCTCAGCTTCTTAAAGGCCGTCTGCAGCGTCTCCTCCTCGCAGTCTTTACCTCCCGCCTCCATGGTTGGAGGAGGCTGCTCCGACCAGCCACCCAGCTGCAACACAAACACACACCTGATCAAGCTGCTGCTGAATCAGAAACACAGGCAGGACTGTCTACCATGAAATGTGTTCTGGTTCGTTTTTTGAGTAGAACTTCATTCAACAAACGACTTCGATTTCTTAAAATGTGACACTTGGTGTCTAAAGCCATGATTAAGGCAGTGATGCTGCCCCCTGGCCAATCAGTGACAGGCAATCTGCTGACGCCAGCTCAGAACCCAGACCAATAAGACACTAAAAAGGAGGTGGTACCGAAACAACACCTAAATGAAAACCTTAAAACCCTGTTGGGTCATCACAGGTTAGTGCTACTGTAGAAAGAAGTCTGTCTCCTGAGGCCCTGTTGAGCTTCCAGAACAACTCTGGCCAAAAATAACAAAGACCCAAGTAATATTTTCAAATATAGATATGATAATAAATGCAGGGTTAAGTAGTTTTAGAGCAAAAATGCTTTAAATTTCCATTAGAGAACAAAACAAACCACCCATAATATTCTTTGTATTGGATAAGTTTCCACAAATATCTATACCATAAATCCTCTTTTTAAAAGTTTTTACGCTTTTGTTTATTTAAAAGTAAAAAAAAAAAGTGGTGCTTTAAAATGACCTTTCCTCTAGTGAATACAAATGAATTAAACTAATTTTTAAAAGGGTTTGTAACATTCGTGCTAACATGTCGGTTTTATTGAGCTGAGCTGAAGGCGAAAAAATGCTCATTGGATGTAGGAGGTTGCAGCTCCTGAAGGCATCATAAGGAAACTGTTGACACGCCACCACTGCTGTATCAATAATTAACAAACATGTCACAATCAGAGGATTTTTTCTAATGTCTCAGTTTTATGAGAACAAGATTTTTTTTTGTGCGTCGGGATTTGATTTGTAAAATAATAACATTCAGGCTTACAGATTCATTAAAAACTACCTTCAGTTTAAGGGTTAAAATATTTTACTTTATATGTACCTCAAATTTAAAACAGGTTAAAATGTATGATAACGTCTCAGGATCTCATATTTTACAAAGGGAATAAACTTTTAAGAAATCTCAGATTTGGTAGCAGCATATTTCGGCCCAAATCTGAATGATCTGCTAAACAGCCAGTTATTTGACTCAGGTGTGTTCAAGCACAGACAAGAAGTGTGGGATTTATCCCAACTAGAGGACAAGAATTGAAGACGCCTGATCAAAAAATAAAAAAAATAAAAAATAAAAACAATATTTTAACCTACACCAAGTTTATTGTAGTCAGAATAGTGAACATTATTGCATTCACCCTTTTCATATCTAAAAAAAAAAAAGTTCTGAAAAATATTGTAGACTTAAAGAATATTTAAACATTGTAGAAAAATCCAATCCTGGATCTATCAGTCCAAGTAATTCAGATTTGAGTCGGAAGCTTATTTAAAGTCCATATTGGATTTAGCTCCGAAAACAATGCTAACTTCAGCGCCTCTGTTAGCATGCTAGCCAAGCAGATAACTGGCTAGCTCCACACTGAGCGTTATTTTAAAGGTTCAAAATAGTTTTAATGTTCGACTTAACATGAGGGTCAAACTTACGGCTCGGGTTGTCCAGGCCACACCAAGCAGAAGTCCAGAAGAGTCCAGAAGATTCTGGGTGGTTTCAGAGAAGCTAAAGGGCAACAGCTAGGGCTCGAGCTGACTTCGCCAAAATACGAACCAAGAAAAAAAAAAAAAAACTCTGCAGACTCAGAACCTGGAGGAGTTTCTACGGAACCGCAGATGGACAAACTCCAGTTTTTAAATGCCTCCTAACATGAAATGCTCGGATGAGTCGAACTGGATCAGGAACTTTCTCTGTCAGAAGCTTCTTGTTTACAGTCAAATCGTCTGCAGTGACTCTGCAACAACTGACGTCACCAGCCCAAAAAGGCAGCCCGACGACAAGTACGGAAGCCCCAAGGTGTCAGCAAAGTACTTTTGGCTAAAAAGTTATATTTTTTATATAATTTTTTATATGTTTATTGTTATTCAGAGACTCAAAACATATATTATTTTATCTACCACTCTGCACTTCATTTACAGATCAGTAAACAATATCAAGTGTAATGCTCTTGGGACTTGTTTTCAAATGTGTTTATTTTGTTACACAACCCAAAACAAAAATTTATATGCTTTTCCTCTAAAACAATTTTTTTTTAATGTTTTTTATTTTCAAAGGCTGTATGTTTCCTGGTTTGTGTTTTTTTTTTTAGTCTTGTATTCTATTGTCCATCCATTTAATTATATTTCACAGATAAATGTTTCTCATTTTATTCTACGCTTTTCAGCAAAATAGTCAACATTCCAATGAACTGATGTGACTTAAGTGTCAATATATTCATATTAATTTCAGGGTAAAATAATAGCAGCGGGTTTAGGTATAATTTTTTTTTTTTTTTTTACTAATGGAAAATTGTCAATTTACTCTATTGTTTATTATTCTTTAATTAGCTATTATTATATTTTACATTTACATAGGAAAACTTCTGTTTTTTTTATAGCACCTTTGTATTTTCCGTATTCCCTCCTATGAATGTAAACATTATAGGTAATATATTATTAATCTAGTATAAAATATGCATTACACAGTCTGCCCATAGCTCAGCATTTTTATCAAAATACAGCAAGCAGAGCAACATGCATCACATTTCTGGACAAAATACATAAAATTCATTAATAGGATGACATAGAGGTCAAAAACAATATAACTCAGATAAATTAATACTATCTAAATATGTTCTCCTTAAAGTCAGTTGATATGAGAATAAGACTGAGAATCAGATATATATAAAAAAATTGGCGTTTTTTGAACTCATCTTGTTGATGTCCCAGTTCATTTCATTTTTTTGAAAGGACGTTTTTTTGATTGTGTTGGTGAAATGATAAAGGCGAGTCTCTGTATAAAAAAACTGGCAGACATTTAGAAGAAGAAAAAAAACTACCGTTAAAAATGATTTAAAGTGGACAGAAAACATTTTGTTTTTACATGAAGCAGAAAATCCAAATTAGGTTTGTCTGTTTGTGAAAGTATCTCAGTTCTTACTAATTCAAATAAACCACCTAACTGAATATAATGTTGGAGTTACATAAAAGATCATTGTATTCATACTACGCCCTGTTCAATCACGTGTTTTTATTGAGCTCTTAATCTCTGCAATATAACAATAAAGGTCATGTAAGGTCCACTCCTGTTATAAATGTTTTCAGGAGGGTAAATGTTTTGCAACCTCTAGATATATTCAGTATATTCGCTTCAGACCACTTTTATTACCCAAATAAACAAAGAATTTTCTAAGTAGGTAATTTTGCCATAGTTCAGTGAAGTACACAGTACTTTTTGCTGCCTCCTAAGGTGCATTACTGAAAAATAACCAGCAGGGGGCAGCACCTGAATACTGTCCTCACTGAATGTGCTTTGGCTGCTTTGCAGGGTTACAGAGTTGACTTTTTTTGCATGACCCAGAATGTTTCAGCAGGGTGTGTCTGTTTTCCCTCAGGGATCAGAAAAAACCACAGCAAACAGTGAATAAACTTACAGTAAGTCGTTCAACCTTTTCCTGCCCGAGGGAGCCGTGGAAAGGAATAAACAAAAGGTGGAGAAATAGAGAATGAGATTTTTCAATCTCAGCATTTCTCTTTCATTGTTTGAGGAGGACAGATTATGTCCCATTTAGCAGGAACCACAGGTTCACATTCATAAAAGTTACTTAAAATAAATCAGAAGCTCCTATAGGAGCAGGATGTGCAGGCTACATTTATGTGTAAGATCTTTTAGCAGAATCAGCCTAATTTAATCAGGTCTGTATCAAGTTAATTGGGATTAGTTTTTTTCTAATACGTCCAGATTGTATGAAACTCCCTGGAGGATCTTCAGTCTCAATATAATTTAAACACAGACAATAAAATGCAGATATTGGTCAGCAGGGGGCACTATACAGTATAACATGAAGCACTTTCAATCAACTGAACTCTAAATAGTCAGAGATGTCTTCAATGTTTATTCTTGTTTATTTACTGTCTGCTCAATCTTTCTCCATTTTATTTTCCATTTTATTTATGAAACATATCACTCTTATCTTTCTCTTCCTCCCCAGTTCCATATCATCACTCCTTTGTCTCTCCATTTTAGTCATCTTTCTGCAGATATGTTCCTTATGGCTCATGGGGACGCTGGCTTCTTTGGTCCATCATTACTGAAAACACTGAAAAGTTCTGATCTCATCTTTGAAGTGACTAAAACCCAACCGTAAACACATTTTCCACTCCATACTCCTCAGCATTGTCCCACTGTACAGTCTCTGCTAACCAGGCTGCACTTGGTTCATTAAAAACCAGGTAAAAATTCAACCTTGCCTCCTGCTGACTAACCAAGCAAGCGTTGAGTGAAACAAGGGGAACATTTATTCTTCCATCCATCCTTCCATCTTTTAACACACTAAATCCCAAGTGGGGTCACGAGGGGTGCTGGTGCCTATCTCTAGCAGTCAATGGGCGAGAGGCGGGTTCCACCCTGGACAGGTCTCCAATCCATCGCAGGGCAACACAGAGACAAACAACCAATAACTCACACACTCACACCTAAGGAGAATTTAGAGAAGCCAATTAACCTAACAGTCATGTTTTTGGACTGTGGGAGGAAGCCGGAGTACCCAGAGAGAACCCATGCATGCTCAGGGAGAACATACAAACTCCATGCAGAAAGACTCCAGGCAGGGAATCAAACCCAGAACGTTCTTGCTGCAAAGAAGCAGTGCTACCCACTGTTCTGCCTACATTTATTCTTAATGTGGGGAAATAGCTGGAATTTCCTTTAAATTAAGGAAGGCGGCCTGATTGGAAGGAGATACAGGTTAAAAAGAAGAAGTACCTTATGAGGTTTTAGTCTCTTCTTATCAGTAGTCTAGTTGTAAAAAATAAAAAATAGGGAGATGGTGGAATTCCTTTTTTTTAAGCATTATTAGCCTAATTTGATATAATCTATTAACCTAAAGCAATATGCATGGTAAGGTTGTTACATGTCATTGACCTTGACCTTGACCATGGCTATCACTGCCCCTGCATAGATAAGGACAAATGCAGAGGACAAATATCCCACTGGAATCAGCTTCGTAGTCATGGTAGGCCATGTCTCTGATTTTATTTATTTTGCTCAGGCTACTCATAAGACCACAGACCGCCAAAAGTTGAAATGGCAATATTATTGCCATTACTGTTAATAAACAGAAGAAATGTTAAACATTCAGTAATAAAATGTCACAGGAGGATGGTCATTTAAGAAGGAGGATGAATTTTAAGATTGTTTTTAAGAAGAAGAACTCAAGTATTGCTTCTTATGTTGATGAGAAATCCTGCTGATTGGGTTTTAACAGTTGGTCTGTGATCATTACTGCAGGTTTTAGGGTTCGTCTCCAAACTCTGCCTCAATCATATGGAGATGGAGTTCTGTTAGAGTTAGTTTGGTCCGGAGTGTTATTTGATAACTTTTATCTTTATTTCATTTAACATTTAAACATAAACCTATGTTTGTCCTACTTTTTTACAGTAATATAAAGTTTTATTTTTCATGATTCCCTGCTTACAGTGTATATGTGCAATACTTCCTTGTTCTAAAGAAAAACACCAGGCAGCCAACCGGACGTAATCTACCGTCACACAGATCTACAACTCTTGATCAGAATAAAGCTTCTGCAGGGCAGGTTTCTGGAGGTCAGACTGTTCCTCTGACAGGAAATGAAGTTAATTAGGGGAATGTCTCCGGCTCCGGGTTTACGGAACAAAGATCCTGGTTGTGGTCAGATGCAGGACATTGTCCGTCGACCGCAAACAAATGGCTCACAGAAAACAACAACCCACAAGGCTAGAAGGGATCTGGGTTCAACTATAGTTCTGCACAACTTGGCTGTATTTTTCTCCTGTTTTAATTAAACATGGAAATCCTAATTAATCTCCAGGAGGTTCTCATGAGAATGAATGTTTTTTATTCACTGTAGGAATTTATATGAGATTATATAAAAATGAGGATTTTATTTAAAAAAGAAGAACATTCCTGAAGTTTCTTCTCTGCAGCTGAAACACTGCTCTTGCAGCTAACGTGTTTCCTGCATGTGAGGCTATTTCGATGCAAAATTATGATGTTGAGTTTATCACTTTTGGGAGAAAAGAGTAAAAAAAAAGGTTTTTACAAACTGCACTTGAAAAAATACGCAAACTGAAAACAGCCGAAAACCAAAGCTATAAAAACCTGCAGAAAATTAAGGCCTTGGCTGTAAAATAGATTAGGAATCTTTCTAGCCTTAACTGAGAATTTGACCAAAAAGATTTAAAATCTGAAAAGCATCCTTTATAATAAATGTTTGTCTATTGAGTTGAAGAATTTCCTGTCCCACCTGCAGGAAAACACCTGCTGCTGATCTGATGGTTGCTTCTGCTGCAGTTTTCATCCAGCTGTGTTTATCTCTAAGCAACCACAGTGAAGAAGAAGAGGATGAAGAAGTAGAGGGGGAACTCCACCCCCTAAAGCCCACCGAAGAGCAAACATCCTCACTGAAGAGAAATCATCAAGACTTTCTCTGCCTCAGACTTTCATCTAGCTGCAGCTCTCAGAAACCAAAGCCAGGGGTTAGGCTGGTGGGATTTTTGTTGCCGCTCAGGAAAACCTCAGAGAAACCACCAGTCAGAAGCAGCTGGGGATCCCCGGAAACATCCGGCCGCTTCATGCGGGGCTCATTTACCATAATGAGTGGATGGGGAAGTACTCAGAGCTAGTGAGGGTGAAAATTCCTCGAAGTGAAAGGTGTCGATTGCTGCGTGGTACTTTAGCACATGGAAGACAGTCTGAGTTCTGGTCTGACTGTTTGGCTGTTGATGTGGTTAATTTTTTGAAAACAGCA